TGTCTCTAAAGGAGGTGGGTGCCATTCCGGGGGTGACACCTGAGGTGGACATCTGCCTTCACGTGTGCACCAGCACCCACAACATGCATGCACACACGCACACACGCACACACGCACGCAGAAAACAAGCAAGGGGAGGTTGGATTCCTTCACTCCCAACAGTGACTCCCCAGTTAGAAGGTGGGTTTCTCGCAGTCTAGAGGAGAGCGGTGTGCATCTTCCCCTGACTGCAGAAGCACCTCACAGGGGCTTAGGGAAAAAACGAGCACTCTAGATGGAGTCCCTGGAATTAAACTGCATTAGATGGAGGCTCAGAGCAGACCAACTGGAATCAGGGGGTGTGGCTGTTTCCCACCTGCTGGTCTGCATAAGTCACCTGCCTCTTCCAGGCCACTTCTCAGATGAAGATGAAGGTAACAGGAAGCAGCTACCTCACAGTGTCCTGAAGCCCCTGTGCGAACCCATGTGGAGCAGTCAGTGCCGCAGAGATGTAATGCAGTGGGTCACCAAGAGACTGCTTCAGGTGTGAGCAGCCGCAACCTGTCCAAGGGGCGTAATTTCTGAATGGACTGAGGAGTCAGGCAAGGGGTTTGTTTTTAGTTTTGTCATGATCAAGTGGGGTAGGCTGGCTCTGAACCTTTGATTCTTCTACTTCTACCTTCTGGAAACACATGTTTACTACCATGCATGGGATCCAACCCAGGGCTTCATGTACACTGGTGAGCACTTTCAGAATTTCACCATATCCTATATCCCCAGCCTCAAAAAGTGTTTCCGGGAACAGCTCAGACTGCCACAGGGGCCGAGGACTGAGGAGCCCACTAAGAATCTGGCCGTTTCCAAAGCCCTTTCGCCAGCATGAGGCAGATTTTGCCCTCGGGAGTTGTTCTTCATTGTGGAATTGGCCATTTCCAGCAGCCTTGATGATGCTGTAATGAAGAAATAAAGCCCATGGTCCAGAGCGCCCCATGGGTGGGGTACTCAGGGCTTCTCAGTTCCTTCTGAACAAGCCACGAGATACTGTGTTCTGTCTTTAGGTAGAAGCACATGGCTCTTCATTTGTGGCTTCTCTTGGGGTCTGCTGTTCACCTTTTCTCTCTGCCCTGATGAGAAGACTCTTCCCAGAGCTCGATCCAGGCCAGGGTCAAGCTTTTCTGAAGGAAAGGCTACTGTCCCGGGGACGTGCTGACTCCCAGAGTGCTGCATTACTGTCACGGCCTGGGCCCTGTGTTCTCACACACGCACGGTCAGATATGGCCCTGTCTCACGTGGAAAGAAAGCAGGGGCTATGGAGGACTTGCCTTCCTCTATGTGAGGAGTGGGGAGTGAGGACAGGGGTTCCGGCCTGGGTTCCTTACTTCTCACTGGGTGAGGCTTTGTCTGTGGCTCTTCTGCCCCTTGTGGGTGAAGAGGGGGAAGAGACTCCTTTATCAGCCATACAGTCTTACCATCACACGCCACGGTGTTTGTTTGAAATTACAGATGCGACTGTTGGGGAGGGCGGGGCTTGTGTTGGGATAAAGAGGCCAAGAAGGAGTTTCAGTGGCAGGAGGTGGCACTGTTCTGTTCCCAAGTTCCTCCGCTGACCGCTCCTTCACTGGGTGGGGCGAAACTCTTATGGCTTCCTTTTCCTGGTTCTTCTTTCTGATTTCTCCTAGAACTTCAGCCTCTAATTTCTTCATTCTCCAAGCGAAGAGGGTCAGGTCGGGGTACAGGAGCAGGAAGAACTTTTGAACTAACAGTTGGGTGCACAGCCCCCAGAGTGGCCAGCACTGCAGGAGCAAGCCTTCATTCCAATTGCATTTGATCTGGCGTAATTGTTTAAATGCCACTTAGATGGTCAAAGTGGTCTCCGTTTAGCTAATAAATTACATGCATTACCCTGCATGCTTCCTGACCTCATCACCCACCTGGAGAGGCACTGAACAGCAGGAATATAGCAGAAGCCAGATGAGAGTTGGAATTTTCTCACAATCCTACTAAAACTAGGAGGCAAAATTACTGACTATATGCATAACAATGTCACTTCAATTGCACTCAGAAATACAAAGGAGCTCACCACTCCAAGTTCAAGGCTGACGTAGACAGTGGAGAGTGGGGGAAACAGCCCTGATCCTGACCAGTGTTTCCTCAGTCCTGTTTTATAAATGCTATCATGTTAGTCCCTGAATCATGGCAGAGAGATGCTCCAAAACTGTACTTCCAGAATGCAGAGACGTAAGAAAGCTCCTGCTAAGCATTTCACGGAACATCCATGTGAAAATATATAGACACACTGCTTTATCAGGGTGATAATTTACAATTTCATGGTATATATATATTATATAATATATATATATTCAATATTGAATATATATGAATATATATATATTCAATAGCTATAGTAAGGACCATTCAGTAGCCTAGGCATAACTTTAAAATAATATCCAATCCTGTAAATGGCAGAAGTGCTGGGGTCCTAAGGAAGGATATTTCACAGGTCTGGAGTTGCTTCCACTGGGAGACAGGAAAGTTGTTTTGTTTTCCTTTTGAGCATGTGTGTGGGGGGAGGGGTTATAGAATTCCCACTGTGACCATCATCTAAGTCCTTAATTCAGTAGGAGAGACAAGGACAAAGTTCTGTCCTTCCCTCATGTCTAGGTCACTCAGGTTTAATTTGTAAAGGAAATTCAACTCCAATCACCACATTTCCCCTTTCCTTACCAGTTTCCAAAACATTGCTTTCCAACATTTTCTGAAGGTGACTAGTGATCCCCACGGCCCCCATCCCACTCTCTTTCCTCCCTCTGTGCACTCTCCCCTTGTCCTTTCTTCCTCTCTCCTCTCCCTCCTCCCTCTATTCTCCCTCCCTCCCTTCCTTCCTTCCTCTCTCCTTCCTTCTCTCTCTCCCTCTCTCCCTCTCTCCTTCCTTCTCTCTCTCCATCTCTCCTTTCTTCCCACCTGATGGAATAAGTCTTTATGAACACACGCCTCTTTGCACTGTCGGTGGCTGTGACAATTTCTGGGGTATCCTGACATGTAGACTCATCTTGGACATTTCTCTTTCTACATCCTGGGATCACAAGACAGTTGAAGAGAAGTAAATAGAGGCTTCTTTAAAGTTTAAAACACTTGCCAGCATTGACCCCTCACACTCACTGTGATGAGCTGGGCCCTTCGGCAGCATGTGCTGTAGGGTAGTCTGGATTTGGCTGCAAGTCAGATGTGGGCAACCAAACTTCTCCTTGGGAGCTGGCCCTTCCCTCTGTCTTCCCGCAGGCCTGTGCTCTGCACTTCCTGATGTAGTAGGATAACTATCCAACAAGTAGGTGCCAATTAACCGGAAGGAGCATGGTTTGCAGTGCTGAGCAGCTCCTGGCCAGCTCTGTCAGCACGGACTCCATAGATGTGGGGATGAGAGAAACACAATGGTGCAGGATAAGGACGAGGGGGGGGGGCGGGGACACACACTGCGGCACTTCAGGGGTGGCTGTGAGACATGAACTTAGCCTGCCAGGAAAGCGTGAGCTGACAGAACATCCTGCTCATGACTGGGCTGCTGAGAAGGGGTCACTACCCAGGCTCCTGCACACTCCAAGGATGTGTCACTTTCCACACGCGACCTTCCCATGGACATCCATGTGATGTCAGCCACTGTTCCCACGATTGGCTCCCAGTTGCCTGGCACAAGGCTGAGAGCTGTGACCATACAGCACTGGCTTCTCCAACTGCCTTGTGTGTCGAATGCTTAGGCTCTGGGCTTTTGAAGAACACATTGCAAAACTGCAGCCTCATCAGCAGTGACACACAAGCAAGGAGATTAAACCACACATGAAACTGTGTGGGAATTCACTCCGAGGTCGGCACAAGCTCAGGGAAATCCATGAATACATTCTGAGGAAAAACGTGAATTAAACCAGGGTGCAATCTTGAGCTTCAGCTCAGCAGGTGCAGGTCACATGACCGTGTAACCGAAACACAGGTAACTGGAGGGCACCTGGGCCCCAAAGAAAGGCCTCATAGGTGAACTGGTTTACACTGTACAGTTGATTTTTGTCATCACACGACAAGAAGAACGCATATAACACAAGTACAGAAACAGCAACTAGGAAACAAACTGAATTGAAACTGGACCTTAAAATAATGAAATGCAGATTATGAGGGCGACTTTGCCTCACATTTAACATTTAGTCACAATGAGAAGCAAATTTTAAGATGGAAATTATTAAACCAAGTATTTTCTCCCATTTTTATGGTGTTAAGTATATCTAACATAAAATTTGCCATTTTAACCGTTTCCCCCCAGAATACAGCAAGTGTTGTTGAGTATATTTCCTGCCCACAGAATCCATCTGTGTTCCACACTGAACTCTGGTTCCTATAATCACTGACCCTCCCTCCTCCATCCCTGGCCACCTCAGGCCACTTTGTCTCTGAATTGGACCCTGGTGTGAGTGGAAGCCACAGTCCCTGTCTGCTGTGGCCAGTGAGGTGGTAAGATTCTTGTCACTTCTAGCCTGGTTGCCTTGCACAGTATCACATTCTGTTTCCCTTTCATGGGACCACCTAGCGGGGCACGATGGGAGATTCCAGCGAGAGGTTCACTTCTGAAAACTGAGCCAGGTCTTTACTGGAGCCCAGCTCACAGGGAGTAAGTTGTGCACTCAGCCAGGCGGGCTTCATGGACCCTGAGACAGGAAGTGCGGGACATCTCACCAGCAGCTCTGCCCCCGTTTTCTTGGCGGTCATGGACTTCTCTCTGCTGGGACCTGGTGTCCTGCTGAGGCCCCACACGGAGCTCTTCCCAGCCCTTGCATTTCCTGTGTCTGGCTTCCCACCTGACCTGCAAGGCTGACATTCACACAGGACTGTCCCTATTCTCCCTTCCTGCCACGGTGCAGTGAACACAAGCTACTCATTCATGTTCCTCTTAATGGACATTTGTGTCATCTCAGGCACCCATTATGAAGTCATGTGGGCTGGCAAGATGGCTCAGTGGGTAAAGTCACTTGTCACCAAGCCTTGAGTTTGATACCTGGATCCCACTTCATGGAGGGAGAAACCTGACTGCCAGAAATTGTCCTCTGACCTCTACACATGTGCCATGGCATATGCACCCCCCACCATGCGCACAAGTAAAAGTACATATATGATATTTTCAAAGAAAATTTAACAATCATTAGCTTTCTGAAAGGTGGCCACAGCCATTCTCCAAGAGTCTTTCTTCATCTAGGTTATTTTTTAATGTGCACATCATCTCCAGCCTCAGTCCTCATGCGTTTTCACACCCTGAAGCAGCCTCTCCAGGTGCCTCCTCATCAACGCCGTTTTTCCAGGACTGGTTCCCCCTGACACACAACCTGCACTATTTCCCAGGACTTCCTGCTTCCTTTGAAACCAGCCTCTCTGCAGGAACCAGCTCCCAAGCATCGGTGCCCCCTGCCAGGTGGATGCAGAAGATAAACAGGTGGGCAGTTTGACAGGGATAATTTCCAGTGGTCACTTACAGGAGACACTTACATGTTGTGTCAGCTTTTTGTTCCTGAGTAAGCCTTGGAACTGGGGCTGAGTCCACAGCCTCAGCTAATAAAACCCTCTTGCATCCGTTTTGAAGTGTATCTCTGCAGCCAATCCCTGACCCTGTCACTTCTGAGGCCATTCCCCGCATCCCTCACTCCTTGCTGAGGTCTTTGATTAGTGGTGCATATCTGTGGCAAGGGGGTGGTTGTCACTGGAATTAAGGAAGGCTGGGTATGATTTGACTGCAAGAGCATGAAGGTCTGCTTTAAGAGAGATATGCAAAGCCTGTGGTTAGAATGATTACAGCCAAACATCAGGACGCCTAGATAAAACCCCTGACATCCCACAGCAGGGGGACACATGCTAAGAACCTCATTTTGATGAATATACATTTTGACTTTTCAACTACAAGGGAATTGGGGCAGAGCATCTACTTTGCACTTTCTAATTAATGGCCCGGATGGGTCATCCTTTCTTTGTTTTATCTATTGATTTTATCTCATTAAGGGGGAGTGGAAATTAGTTCTATTTTCTCTTCTTTGGTAAATTTGTCTTTTCATTACAAGCTGGGAGTGAGAACACACGGGCCATGATCTTGGCTGCTGCAGGTGGGGTTGCATGCAGAGGCCCTTTTCTGTAACAAAAAGTGTGTGTGTGTGTGTGTGTGTGTGTGTGTGTGTGTGTGTGTGTGTGGTAGCAATGGGTCTCCTGGAGGGCATCATTGCTCATTCTGTTGAAAGTATCGGAATCTGTGCAGGGCAAGCTAGGCCTGACTGAGTCCGGTTTACATCGGATCAGCACAGAGAGGTAGAGACAAGTTTCCTGGATATTAGGTCAAAGGTGGTTGGCTGAACAGTGGGAGAGCGTGCTCAGAACTTGGAAACACTAGCCTTCACCTGATGATAGCGCTGCTTTTCAAGGTCGGAAAAGATTGGGCATTGATTCCGAGGGCAGTCAGCTCCTGCTCGTAGGACACACAGTGTGGTTAGACGCCCTCTCTCCCTCCCACCTCAGCCTGGATGTGCTCAGCTTCCCTCTGCAGTTCTCTTGATATCCCTCAAAGAAGAGGGCTTGGATCTACACTCACAGGAATAAGGGAAATGCCAGGTTTATCTGTTGATCTACTGAAGCAAATATGACTGAGGTGATGTGACTATTGATGGTAAGTTCAGTCTCAAACACTTTGGAGTCCCAGCGACTTCCTTTGGGGACAGAAAAACTCTGGTTGTTTGGAGCCATCCAGAACACTCAGGTCTCAGTCTCCAGCATTCACCAATGTGGCTGCCTGTGCGTTATCTTCCTGATGGTCTGGGAGCTTATGCCTTCTCACCCACTACCAGCTCACCCACCACCAGCTACTATCTCAAAAGAGAAGCTCCTTTTACATGTTCTAAAAGCTTGTTTCTCACAGTGCCCCCCCCTCAAGGTAGCAGATGCCTAAGAGTTCCCAGGTGAGCCTTGTGAGGTCCTGGGCTCCCTGGAGCCAACTGGGCCTTTTGCAGTCACTGCTGTAGCCACAGAGCCTGTGCTTGGCTTCCAGGGGCCCTTCAATAATTTCTGAGAGGATGATGGAGATGAAATTACCTCCAGCAACCAGATTTACAAGTTTGGGGTTCCAGGCATGGCCGCATTCAACTCTTCTCAGGCGCTGGAGCCAACTTAGGTAGAGGACATCCTCCAAAATCCCATTTACCCTTTTCAGCAAAAAGAGACCCCAGGGAAAAAAGAGAGTAAGAAATCTAATAAAGAGCATGCTGAGAACTTGCTGCCAGCAGTACATTTGCATAATTTATGACTGAATGTATAAGAACACCATTTCTTTTTAGAGACATATTTTTATTATGACACGCACGAATATGTACATAAATATTTCTTTGTATAGCTAGTGGGTCCTACCTACTGATGTCAGAGGAGAAGGCAGTGCAAGCCTCCTTCCTGCCTGTCCTTGTCCTCACTGCAGGCTCTTGAAAGGGAACCAGAACAGAAGGTCCGTAGTTCAAGATCCATCCTGGTGGATGAAGACGGCAGAACTAGATGGTTCCTCTGACAGCTGAAGAGTGTTTGGTCATGGTTCAACCTCTGTCTGGTCCCCACTTACAAATTGGCAAATATCAAAGACAAACCTAGAGCAGACTGAAGAGTCCTTGTGCATGCCACCTTCTCTCTGGGCCTCCGTGTTTGTCCCAGCGGTCTTAGTGTCCTGAATGTGGCTTTCGCCTCCCAGCCCCCACTGAGGCTTCTGGAGGCCGTTCAGCTCCATCTCCTGCTTGCCTTTCATTTTCCCCCAGGCTGTTTGCAAGGTCCACAGCCTCCAGGCAAGAGCAGTGCTCAGTGCCCTTCACCAAGACAGTCCCCTTCTTCCTGGACTATTCCTCACTGCCTCCTAATTCCCTCTCTAATCTTGAAAAATCATTTCCATTTGGAATTCTGCTTTTGTGCAGAAGCATTTTATTCAGTTTTTCTGTGTTAGAAGTAAAATATTTTTCTTTTTGAATGCCAGTCCTTCATATCCCTTGCCAGATGACAGCTAGATGCACCTATCATCTTGGTCACCTGACTTCCTACTACAAAATCATAGCCTTTGTGTGCATCATTTTTTGTTGTTTGTTTTGTGTGATGTGTGTGTATATACATGTGTGTATGTGTGTGTATATGTATGTGTGCACACAAACATGGGCAATGTGGAGCTAAGAACATGATACCTCACAGAAAACACATTGGCATGGTGATTTTTTGAGTTGAGGGAGATCATTAGAAACAAGCCACCTCTCATTTAATTGTCTTCCTGTCTCTTCCTCACAAAAAACTTGTAACCCCCAGAAGTGTTCATGTTATGTCTTGCCCCAGCCCCAGGGATCTGCTGAGAGCTGCCCAGTATGGAGGTGGATGGGTATCTTACAGGCACAAGGACTCTTCACAAACCTTGTTGAGTCTTCTGTGTTGATTGCTCTCACACCACACCCCTGTCCAGTCTCCTTTCTGCACACCCCTGCACTTCTATCACAATTAACATAAAATCCTGTTTCTCTCAGCCTTGGGGACATTCATCATATGTATTCGTGCTTCTGAGGTTGGTTTCTTTCACATAACGTGGTGCCCTGGGACCCCACATACTTGAATGCATCGTAGCTAATTCTTCTGTGTTGCTGAGGGATAGTCCATGTAGACTTATTCTGGAGATACTGGAAAAGTTCCACACACGCTTGGTGCAGAGGGTGCAGCACACAGGCCATCCAGTCGTGGAGGTGCTGCTCCGCGTTGGAGTGATGTTTAACTGTGCAGTCATTAAACTCGAAGAGTTGTGGTAGCCTGTTTTAAGTTTTTAATGGACAATGAGTGGGGCTGGATTCAAGTTGTCCTTGCCCGCCCTGCACCTTTGTCACCTAAGGGAAGTGTGTCAGGTTGCATTCGTTTCCTTGTTTGTGACAAAGGCAAATTAAGGGGAGAGGGGTTGTTTTGGCTCACAGTTTGAGGGTGCAGACCGTCCTGCTGAAGGCATGGTGGCAGGAGCGTGAGGCAGATGGTCACAGGGCATCCACAGTCAGGAAGCAGCTGGTCACATGGCATCCACAGTCAGAAAGCAGCTGGTCACATGGCATCCACAGTCAGGAAGTGACTGGTCACATGTATCCACAGTCAGGAAGTGACTGGTCACATGGCATCCACAGTCAGGAAGTGACTGGTCACATGTATCCACAGTCAGGAAGTGACTGGTCACATGTATCCACAGTCAGGAAGCAGCTGGTCACATGTATCCACAGTCAGGAAGTGACTGGTCACATGGCATCCACAGTCAGGAAGTGGCTGGTCACATGGCATCCACAGTCAGGAAGCAGAGAGAGATGAACGCTGGTGCTCAGCTCACCTTCTCCTTTCAATTTGGTCCAGCACCTCAGTCTCTGTAGAATGGAGCTGCCACATTCAGGGTGGCTTTTCTCACCCCAGTTACAACTTACTGGAGGCAGCCTCAGGGATATGCCTCACGTGCGTCTTTTATGGTTTTCAAATTGACGGTGATGACTGAGCACAGAGGGATCAGCTGGGAGCTTTGCCAAAGACGGATGAGGTGCTCAGAGGAGACAGAAAGAACAGGGCCTGCCTGGGCCTAGTAACCTCTGCTGAGCCTGTACAGCAGGGTTTGTCCTGTCAGGGAGGCTTGGCTTCAGGAAACCACCGGAGGGGTGGAGGGAGCTGTAACTATCACATCTTAGCCAAGGTGGCAAATCTCGTCATACCAGGCTCAGCCTCTCAGACCGATGACATTAAGTCCTCAATCCTCTGACTCCCCTAAGTCTTCCAGACTGGCCTGACTCTGAGCACTGTGTGTGATTATCTAACGTCTGCCTGCAGGAGATAATTCAGTGTTCACTGGCATCTCAGCATCCCTTGCTCCTTGGGAGTTCATGCCTCATTCTAAAACCAACACAATGATCCTCCAAAGATGATCTGGCTTCTTATGTCAATGATGATAGAGGGCTGGGCCATGAGGGGGTAGGACTCCCAGTCACCAGTACAGATGCAGGACACTCTACCATTTATTCAGCCCCTGTTCTATGACAAGCCATCTGGAGCCTTCCTCATGGGCAGTCTGGCATAATCCCCACCCAGTCCCGTGATGTCGGTTTACCTATGACCTAGGGCTTGGAGATATCATTGAGAGGTCTGTCACTCATGTTAACCTACAGCTATGAAGTGGCAAAGAAGAGACATGAACCCGGGGCTGCTCAATTTCATAGTCCAAGTTCTAAACATAGAACCACAGAGCTGAGTCACCTAGATTAATACCCAGGTGCTTGTGTTTTATCTGCCACCCTTGAGAACTTGGCTTGGGTGCATTCTTCACTAAGAGATGGGTAGCATGTGATCTGTAAAGCTGTTGACCACTTTGGACTGAAGAGTTGTAGGACTCAGGGTGACATTTGATGATTTATAGAAGTGTGGCAATTTGGACTAAGGCTTTACAGACCAGAGCAACAAGGGGTTCACTCTTTGTAGGGGATCCTTACTCACAGTGAACATGGAAGTGAGTCAATTTCCAAACCACACAAGATACAGAGCAGCTAACCAGCAGTTCCCAGTCTGCCATC